TACCCTTAAAATTTGTTAGTGACATATCGTATATTGTTTTTTTGGGAAAACATATAAATATTTAATTCAATTTGGTTTATTAAAAAAAATAACTTAAAAATAATACAAAAGGAAACCTAAAAATAATTCACATTAATAAAGTAAACGGACATCCTTATTTAGGTAAAAAAAATTACATTCTATTTATTTTGACTTTCCAGGCACTTAAAACACACTTTTTGAGAATATGAAGGTCAACAAGCTTCGATTTTTAAAATCAGGGCCAGAAATTCAACAGTGTCGGTAGGAGATACTAAGATACCTACCGCTAGGTAGCCGTTAAAGAATAAAATTGTCACTAAATTTAGGCATTTATTTTTATTAAATTATTTGAAATTTACTTTATCAAACTTCTATGAAACACCTCAATAATGTTAATTGGTTCAATTGATTTTATTGATTTCTGATTTCTGTTGTACCTATATAAAGAAAGAATCGAAATGATTTTATTGCTAAACCTCGCCTTTCCGCGCTATAGCTGTCTTCTATACAGGAGGTACCTATTTTAAGATCAGGTTTTTCGAATAATTTTTTAATTTTTTTTTTATTAAACTCCTTTAATGGTATTCGCCTTTTTCTCGCATCAAAAAAATCTTTACTTTTCAACATAGATACATACAACTAAATTACATAGAGGTAAATTAAATACATATATACAAATTGATACAATTTAATTAGGTAGGTACATAAATAGGTACATTTTAATTAATATATAAATAGAAGCAATTAGAAAAAACTTTTAAATAACATAAATCATAAATACTAATTAAAATTTAGTAATAAAATTCAAATCCTTACATAAATACATTTAAGTTACATAACATAAGTAAATTGCATTGATAGAATTCAAATGCTTGCAAAAATACATTTAAATCAGGTAATTAAATACATTTGAATGACATAAGTGCATTTAAATTAAATAAATACATTTAAATAACATAATTCCATTTAGGAAACATAAATTTATTTAAATAACATAGGTACATTTATTTAAATAACAAATAAATATAAATAACAAATATAACTTAAATATTATAAATTTATTTAAATAAGAAATATATTTGAATAACAATAAAATAGATACATTTAAATGACCTAAATTAATGCATTTAAATAACATAAATAATTATATTTGAATAACAATAACATAGATACATTAAAATAACTTAAATTAATACATTTAAATAACCTAAATTAATACATTTAAATAAAATTAATATACAGTGCTTATTATTTTGTATTAGGCATAGCCCTGCTTTCACAGTGAATATTTGGCAACTACGATATACCCGCTATCGCTATACGAACATTCGGTTCGGGTAATATCCCACCAGCATATCTTCTTATGGCTAGTTATTTGTCTGCAGTCCTCCATTACGTAATAGAGAAATGAGTGGAATAAAAAGATATTTAACGGCTACGGCTTAAAAACCAGTTGCGGAAGAGAGAGGTGTGTTAGGATTTCTATTTGTAAAGGTCTGGATTAAATTAAATTAAAATTATTGCAGTTATTGATTCAGAAAGTTCTGATGAACCTAGTACATCAACTTCAACACCTAAAAAGAAAAGACGCATTAGAAATGAGCTATCAAAAGAAGGGGAATTCCGGCAAGAAAGCAGTTATTTTCAGAAAAGTGGTTAGCAGATCCGGAATTTACAGGATGGTTAGAAAAAGTAGACAACAATAAGGCCAAATGTAGAGCTTGTAATGTTAGTTTGTCTACAAAAAGGTCAGATTTAATCAAGCACTCTCTTATAAAAAACATACACTTTCATCAAGAATGATTGCTGGTAGCAGTAAATTACCAGATTTATTTAAAGTTAGTAATGATGAGAAAGTAATGATGTTAACCTGCGTGAAGTTGGCCCTACCATGTTATGATAATTACACCAAAGTTGTACTAATATTTTACAACTAATTTGCAACTTTAGGCAACTGGTACAAAAAATTTGCAACCTTACATTTTTGTTCTAATCGCTAAAACAAAATTGGTGGGGCCAAATTCACGCAGCCCCACCACATCGTCGTATTGACCTCGAACCTTTTTCATAATTTAGCAACTAATTTGCAACTTTAGGCAACCTTCGTGAAAAAATTTGCAACCTCGTGGTTACATCTAAAACGAATCCCTAAGTTGATGGTAACAAATTCACGCAACACCACCACATCGTCGTAATGACCTCGAATTTTTTTTCATAAATTAGCAACTAATTAACAACTTTAGGCAACCTTTGTGAAAAAATTTGCAGCCTTGTGGTTACGCCGGAAGCGAATTCCTAAGTTGTTGGGGCTTAATTAACGCGGCCCCGCCACATCGTCGTATTGCCCTCGAACCTTTTTCATAATTTAGCAACTAATTTGAAACTTTAGGCCACCTTCGTAAAAAAAAATGCAACCTCGTGGTTAAGTCGGAATCGAATTCCTAAGTTGGAAGGTGGGCAATATTTATATAACACAAATAAAAATCAAATGGGCTAGAAATAAGCTATGCTGCAAATAACGACTTGATACAATACATATTATCTTCTCTTTCCGTAACAAATTAAAAAATTATTATGTTAAATTAATACATGTTAAAAAATGCACTTATACAACGGCGCAAGTAGATATTTTATTTGGGGGTGTTAAAAATTTTGGTGTGTCATTTTGTATAACGTAAAATGAGAAAGAAGACATTTTTAATAAATTGCTACTAAATAATTTCGGAGGTGATATAAGCTCTAAAACCCCTCTTAAATGGACATAAATAGGTGTACACGTCTACTCTTTTGAGTTAAAATTATTATTCCCTTATATTGACGGGATTCTCCAACCTTTTTGGTTGGTCACTTAAAAAAAATCATTTTCCATTAGGATCAAATATATGACGAGAAATAATAATAAGCTATAATGCAAATAATAACTTCAAATTAATTTAATGTATAGATTCTTGATTTTTAAATGAAATTGACACTTTGGGGTAATTTGTGCCTTTTTTACAAATTAACTATAAAAGAAATCCAAGATAAATTACATAAATACAATTAAATTACATAAATACAATTAAAATACATAAATACAATTAAAATACATAAATACAAATAAATTACATAAATACAATTAAAATACATAAATACAATTAAATTGCATAAATACAATTAAATTTCATAAATACAATTAAATTACATAAATATAACTAAATTACAAATTACTTAAATACAATTAAATTACAAATTAATAAGGAGGCGTTCATTAATTACGTGAGTTTAAAATGGGGGGAGGGTGCCGGCAAAATATCACCAAATCTCACCAAATCTTACCAAATCTCACCAAATCTCACCAGATCTTTACAAATCTCACCAAATCTCACCAGATCTTTACAAATCTTCACAAATCTCACCAAATCTCACCAAATCTCACCAAATCTCACCAAATCTCACCAAATCTCACCAAATCTCTCCAAATCTCACCAAATCTCTCCAAATCTCACCAAATTTCGCCAAATGTCACCAACTCTCATACTCTAACTTTTTAATTTAGACTATATAGGTACATTATGACAGCTAACATTTTGTATTTTAAAATCAATCAGAGGCACAGACAGTATTAAATAATTTTTACACTGAAAGACAAGTTATTTACTGTTAAGTTAACAACATTTTCTTACTATTTAATAAAACGTTTATTTGACTCGTCACCAAGAATATTTTTTTTAATTCTAATTTATTGCATATTTTATAAATGTTTATTTTGACATAATATGAATATAGGTAATAAATATTATTACATAAATTAAATAATATTGAATTTTTCAAAAATACTATTGCTAATTACGAAGTCTATTTGAAATGTTAAAATGCGCCACAATGATAACATATTCCAGTCTTACAATAATTTTTCCATAAAAATTTAAATCGCATTTAATTAAAATAACAACAAATTTAATTTTTTACGAGGTAGTGTCAGTTTTAAAACTAAGATATTTAATAATAAACCAACGCGACACCTGTGGTGATTTTAATAAACACATAGGTATTTGTAATAAAATATATAAATATATCAAACAATTTAATTTTTTTAAAAATTATATGGTATATCTCAAAGAAAGGACGGCGAAGAAAGTACAACAAATACGGGCTAACATTTTAATTTTTAACGACATTTGTACTATTTGTATTACTTCTCTGATAAGCTCATTGTAAATGTATCTCATCCTTTTTTATTTCATTTATTCCCTGTGGGACCATATCATAAAGTGCTATAAATATGGGCTACCATAAAAGATGAATTTTTAAAGCTTTATTTCAACTAACTACAATAATTGCAGACATATTCGTCTTTCTTTGCAAATTTGACACATTAGACATTGTACCCACAATTCACAGCGTTGGTCTTTGGAAAACTTCCCATCATAAAAAAGGCAATCTTCATCATCTGTTTTTTTTTTCTTCTAGGAATTTTATACAAATCTTGATACCTACTTGTCTGCTGTGAAAAACTCTGTCTCGTCGTCGGAGAAATCTGTAGTCTTCAGCACTATTTTTTACTGGCTTCTTCATAAAAAACTTTTTTTTACATTTTTAACAGATTTGTTATTAACTTCTTTATTATCGTTCTTAGCGTGCTCTTCTTTATAGGATGAAGAAGTTATTGTAGTTGCTCCCGATGCTTTTTTACCTCGATTTGTAGTTTTGTTTTTGTCAACAGCACCGGCAAGATATAGAATGGGGTTATGGTGAACTAGAAGAACCAGGTTTTGTTTTGTTATTTGGTAATTCTTGTCGTTTTTCCCTAAAATCCCTTGTTACTTGAATATTCTTTTTTACTCCTGATGGCCCATCAAATTCTTGCTATTTAAAGTTGTTCGTATTGTTAGCTTGTAAATATATTTTTGATTCGTTGTGTACCCACTCACACTGAACTGCAGTGTTTGATTTTTGAGTATGACTTATATTTATATACATAATTTTTCTCTTTTCAGTAAACCAAAGCTCAGACCTTCTTGAAGACTGTCAAAAATTGTTAGAACGATTTAAGTATCCGTGGGAAATGATGCCTTTGATGTATGCCATTCTCAAAGATGCCAGGGCGGATCTGGAAGAGGCATCAAGGCGGATAGATGAAGGTAAGAATCGATTTTTTAATATTCCCAACTTAATAATAGTTTTAATAAATTATGTATATTTTTTATTATTTTGTTATCTAGTAGTATAAGTTTAAATACCTATGTAAGTTATATTTATTGTATAATATGTAATACCTATAGAGTATACTTCTTTTTTTGTTATGTTAAATAGACAGGTTATGCTTCTTGAAATAGTTAAGCCCAAAACCTTCTTAATGATATCATAGACTAAAATTTTAAGGAGTAGACAATTTTGGTGTTACAAATAGTTACAATTGGAGTTTATGGTGTTCACCAATCCTTTAAGATGTTTATATGAAATACCACATGTAGGTTAAAGTCTCTTCCTAGCTATGAAGTCCTACTAGCACCCAGTCAAGTTTGATCCTGTTATGTTCTGTGGTCTGTCTGTGCTAAAAGCGAAAACTGACTTGAATGTAACTTTTTAATGACTCCATAGTAGTCTTTTCTCAGAGTTCACTTCAGCTCCAGTAATCATTTCATTCAATAATTAGTCTATGAAACGTGGTTTTTCAGTTTTTATTATAAAAAGACGTAACATTTTACTCTAATTTTTAAATTTATTTATATATTGAGGAAAGAAGTAAAAGACAAAAGAGAAGTAACTCTATCATAGTCCTCCTGTTAAAGTAATGCTTACATATATGTAAAGAATTGTATTTTTTATTTTATAATCACTGTTATTATGCTTATTACACAGTTTAAAAAATCAACCATAACAATTATTTTAGACAAATTTAAACGTAATTAAAAAACCAGGTTAAAAAAATGTAGTCAATTTATATAATTAGCTTTAAACTGATGTAATAAACATTTAATAGGCAAAATCAAGACATTATTCATATTATTAACTTTATGTAATTACAAACATTAATACAACACAATTTGTTAAGAATAAATAATTTGTCAAATATGGATACTTACTACATTTCTTTGCTAGTTTCAAAGGGCATACAAATTATTATTATTACTATTATTTATTAATGTGTATCCAAAGTATACATATACAAGGTGTCCCAGCTTTGCGTTTGCAAGCTCTAATTACGTATTATAAATATTTATAAGAAAATGTTTGCGTAAAAGTAACTTAAATTTTCGATTACACGTTAACTTCAAGGTCATTTTATGGTCAACTTTTTTTTAAATGAAAATATTGATATGGAAACACCCAGTATCAAAAAATTTTGCCCGAATTGTTGATTTTGCTCATTTTATTATTATTTATTAAACAATAAACTATTGGAGGTATCTGAGGAAATGAAAGAGGTTGAAAAAAAATATGGTTGAACAAAATGTAAATAATAGCGTTGGTGAAGAAAATGAACATTAAAGAAAAATATGGAAATGATGCAGTAATAATGATAATGAACCAACTGGAGAAAATAGGGAATAAATTAGATAAAGATAGACAACAAGATAAGAAAAAATGAATAAAGGTAGACGGCAGGATAAAGAAGAGAGAAAACAAGAAAGGTTAGATGACAGAAAATAAATTATAAAGAAAATGGAAAGAATGGAGAAAAACATAAAACAGAACATGACAAGCGAAATAGAGAAGATGGAAAATAAATTGGAGGAGAATAAATAAAAACTGTGAAAAAACAAAGAAAAGGAAAGAAGACAAATTTAAATCAGAAGAAGATAAATGAAACTAAAACAAAATAAGTAAAAAAAAATTGAAAGAAAAAAATATTTTGAATATTTATATATTTTGTCCTTCAATTGCTGATTTTGCTCTTTTAATATTATTTATTTATCTAAAAACTAACTATAACTTATAACATTTTATAATTATTTATAACTACTGCAACTGTCTAAAATTCATACTCACATTTACACCAATTTTATAAATCTAAATATCCCCTTTTCTTGTTTTCTGTATACTTCAATATCTTCTTAATTTATAATATTTCTAGTATATTTCTTTTGTGCATATTATCTACATTCAACTTTTTTTTCCATCTCAAAATATCCTTTATATTTCTTCTTTAAAATCTTCCCATTTTATAAATTTTTTAGTCATTTTCTCATTATACATTATATTATTTTAAATCATACATATCATATATTCTCCTTCATTTTAATCCAATAAACTATTTATTTTCTTTATACTGTTACTATTCTACAAACATTTCTTTTCTAAATTACTAATAATATGTACAAAATCTTTGCTTTTTAAATACACTTTATTATATTTTCCTAACTATTCTTATCGATAACGTCTTCATTTCCACGTTCATACACTATGTCCACTCATACACTTAATATTGATCTATCTATCTATCTCTTTTTTATTTATTTAATCTATTTAATTTCCAAGTTCACAGCTAGTTTTATACTTCCAAATTTCCGTCCTTCATCTAAATTTTACTATTTTTATTTTACCTTCGTCCTCGCTCTTTCCTTTTCTGTCAATTTTCTATTCTTTATTAATTTATCCAATTTTTCTCCATATTTTATTTTTGTTTTCATTTGTCTCATATTTTCCACATTTTGTTTGACATTAATTTTCATTTTTAGACTTTTACATTTCTTTATCTTTCTTTCATTTTGTTTCCTGTTTTACTCTATCTTGTTTTTTTGCCTCTTTCTATTTTTTTTTTCATTTTTTTTTGTTATCTTGCCTTTTGCTTCTCTCTTTTACTTGTTTCCTAGTTGGCTTTATTATCTTCCTCGACTTCTTTTTTATTCTTTAATTTTTATTTTACTTTTATTTTGTCTATCAATACTTTTTTCGAATTTTAAATCTCTCTTTCCTCACTAACTTCTTTTTCTTTACTTTCTATTTTTGTCTTTAATTTTATTTTTATGTTTTCTGGTATATTTATTTCTTCATTTATTTCTATTATTTTATTATCCTTTTCTTTGTTTCTTCACAGTTTTTATTTATTTTACTAACTCCTCCAATTTCTTTTCTACCTTCTCTATTTCGCTTTTTATGTACTGTTTTATGCTTTTCTTCATTCTCTCCATTTTTTTGTCATTTCTTTTTTTGTCTTCCAACCTTTCTTGTTTTCTCTCTTATTTATCTTGTTGTCTATCTTTATTCATTTCTTTCTTGTTTTGTTGTCTATTTTTCTTCATTTCTTCCTTATCTTATTGTCTTTTTTTTTGGTTGATTATCATCATTATTGCATCAGTTCTATATTTTTCTCCAATTAGTGTTTGCTTCTTCTGTGCATTTTCTTAACCAACGCTATTATTTATATTTTGTTTAACCTTATCCTACTTTCCAACCTCTTGCACTTTCTCAGATTGTTACTCGTCCAATCGAATCTTCTATCCTCCTCTTAAATCCATTTGATTTTCTCCCTTTCTATCCCTGTTATAATTTTATACTTAAAACTTGCACCCACTCTACCAAACCTCTAATTTAAACACCAAAATCGACAATTCAATAGAAAAAAGTCTTACCCAAATTTAAATTCCAAATTTTCCTAATAATTTTCCAAATTGCAATCCAAAAATCCATGTTGGGCGGCACTTGATATGCCAACACCCAGTATCGAAAAATAAAATTTTGCTCGAGACTCTTTAAATGGGGTGGTTTGACTCTAAAAAATTACAATATAAAATTAGACCCAAATTAAAAAAAAAATAAATTTCTAATTTTTAAATTTTTTCTTCGGTATTTTGCTTTTCCTGTTTCTCTTCTGTTTTCCGTCCTACTCCTGCTGTTATCTACTTCACTTTTCTATTAAATTCAAATAAAACTTTTCTTTATCTTTCTTTTATATTTAACCGCTGCTTTAACTCTGACTTGATTCCTCTTCACTGCTCTATTTGTCTTCCAAACTTTCTAATAAAAATCTGTTTTTTATATAATCGTTTATTTTAAATTTTTTCAAACAAATTCCAAATTATAATACAATCCAAAACATTTCAGACAATTATTTTTTATTTCCTATGACAATTTATTCCTCTTCTGACAAAAAATTTTGACATTCCAAAAAAAATTGACATTTTAAATTTTTATTTTTAGCAACTTTACCACCCCATGTTTTTTAATAAAAAATATTAAATAACTATTTTTCACTTACCTTTGAAATTAGCGCGTGTTTGTCTAAATTATTTTTTACTTACCCCCAGTTTTGAAATTAGCGCGTATTTATAAAATTTTAATTACAAAAATTTACTCACCACTGATGGTCTAAGGACTAGAGTCTAGGCGGCCATGACAATAACTCATGTAGCTGTTAAAATTATTTATTACACTGTAATAGATATGGTTCTATAAATAGAGGCTCTAAATATGCAAACGGCTCGTCTCTAACTAATTTAGATCACTATCACCAATATGCTATTAAGGGATGGGGCAGCATTTACCCGTGACAACAAAAAAAATAACAACCAAATATTCCCTTGGTTTTGGCAATTAGTTAAAGAGACGCCAACGCTTCGCAATTGCTTGGATTACTTGCATAACTGGTTTTGGAAAAGAAGAAGTAAATAATAATAAGTAGGTAGACAATCGAACAACAAAGAATATGAATAAATGGTGACAAATGTGATAATAGATATGGTATTTAATACCCTCAATGTCGAAATACCAACTATCTCTACTTGGGCTGGGTTTGAACTTCTGAAAAAGTTAACAAAAATGCCGAATTAAATTTACCAAAATACTTGTCTTTTTGACTTCCTACTTTTATGTATCATCTTATCCCATCGCTCTATTGCTTTACTTCTCTTTTGCCTTTCTATACATAGTATTTATGTGTTTCCTTTTATCACTGCACTTCTTTTAAACTCTGCTGCTCAATCAACTATCTGCTTACCTCCTCTGTTTTCTTAGCTCTTTTCCAAAAATACTTTGGAAGACACTTTAGACTGTCACTAATAAAACGGCCAGAGTTTTGGGCACAATCCACGCTTGACTCTTCTATCGACTATTAATTATTTAATAATTTTTTTTCAAATGAGCTGCCACGTTTAACGAAAGATATTCCTTTGACCGAAAGGCAAGCTTGGCAACAAAA